GGGGGGCGGGGTAATATAGTTGTTGGAATCTCTATCTGGGGGTCAACTTTGGTAGCTAGCGTTAACATTGAAGATTGAACCCAGTTCTGACTTCCACTGAAGAAAATTCATTGGGTGGGTTATTCGGCCATTTAGGGTTAGCCTAGCCATGACGAGCGCTGCTCAATGTTATTGTGGCTAGAATTGTTTTGACCAACATGGTGACAGAGCAATTGTCCTCGGTAGGATTAGTTTAGTTGGATGGGGATGCCGTCATCTCTGGTCGGGCTGAATTGTTGTGTGGATTAATATAAAAGTAGAGGTCCTGTAGGATTGCTAGCTTAATGTCTGGTTAGCATTAAATAGGCGTATACTTTATATACAGGGGTGGCTTCCCCAAAAATTAATGTTTAAGGGGGGATAAGCAGACTGCCTGATGTCGGGATAGAGTCCAGAATGTTAAGTTTTGTAATAATGTAAAATGTTTTTTTTAAGTTTATTGGCTTTGTTTTTTTACAACTGGATCTAGATAAGAACAGTTGTGCAAAGCATATGTTTTCCCTCCCTTGTAGGGGAGGTTTGTTGTTCAACTAAAATATAATGGGGGTTTCCCAAATACCGATGTAATGAAGGTCGGCTATTAATGGCTAAGATAATTGTAATATTTCTAAACTATTCCTGATGCTTTGGCAAGTTAAATTTTACTTGTACATGTGTATATGGGGTACTTGATTAGGAAGTATTGGATCATGAAACTTACTACCAGGGTGAAATTTTAACCCAAGCCGCTGTGTCTGTGCTTTTGACTCTTTTGGTGTTTCGTTTCTGGATGGGATGTTTGGATCGGCGGGGCGTGGGTTGCGGAATGGCCATACGCACCCCGGGTTTTGCTGCTCCGCATTGTTACGGGGAACGAAATGATCGAGGGAGGGGAATCGCGATCCCTGTCAAACAAGCACCGATATAAGTTGTAAGGGTTGAGGGAAATTTTAAAAAATGTTGGGTTTTAGGGAAACTTTAAATTATTAGGGTTTAGGGAAACTTTAAATTGTTGGGGTTTAGGGAAATTTTAAATTATTAGGGTTTAGGGAAATTCTAAATTGTTAGGGTTTAAGGATATTTCTAGTTATTGGGGTTTAGGGAAACTTTAAATTGTTAGGGTAACTCCATACGGGATACTGGGTAAATTTTGTAATATCTTTGTAACTTTACTAATTTTTCGCTCGAGCTGACATTTATTGCATTGGTTGGTAGCTGGCAAACAGCTGAATTGTTTATACCTGGCTGAATACTGCTAGGGTGTGGAAATCCTGTGTTTGAACA